GAAGGAGTCAGACCCTTCACGTTCTCTACATGCTTGACTCGGGAATGAGTACAGGCAGAGTCAACCCGTACAGCATTGTGTCCTCCGAGGAAGACGGGCTGCGGTTGACCACCATGCCAGGAATCAACGGTTTTGGGAATGGTAAGATTCACACCCGGAGGAAATGTCGGAACAGGTTTGTGAAGAAGAACGGGCAGTGCAATGTGGAATTCACCAACATGGATGACAAGCCACAAAGATACATCGCTGACATGTTCACAACGTGTGTCGACATCCGCTGGCGATACATGTTGTTGCTCTTCTCCCTGGCCTTTCTGGTATCCTGGCTACTGTTTGGGTTGATTTTCTGGCTCATTGCACTTGTCCATGGAGACCTAGAAAACCCGGCTGGGGACGAGGACTTCAAGCCATGCGTTCTTCAAGTAAACGGCTTTGTGGCAGCCTTTCTGTTCTCCATTGAAACCCAAACGACGATTGGCTATGGATTCCGCTGCGTGACGGAGGAGTGCCCGCTAGCCGTCTTCATGGTGGTGGTGCAGTCCATCGTGGGGTGTATAATCGACTCGTTCATGATTGGGGCAATCATGGCAAAAATGGCCAGGCCCAAGAAAAGGGCCCAGACATTACTTTTCAGCCGTAACGCCGTCGTGGCCATGAGAGATGGGAAACTCTGCCTGATGTGGAGAGTTGGGAACCTTCGAAAAAGCCACATTGTAGAAGCCCATGTAAGAGCACAGTTAATTAAGCCCAGAATCACCGAAGAGGGGGAGTATATCCCCCTCGATCAAATAGACATCGACGTTGGGTTTGACAAAGGCTTGGACCGTATTTTCTTGGTGTCTCCAATCACCATTCTTCATGAGATCAACGAGGAAAGCCCTCTGTTTGGAATTAGCCGCCAGGACCTGGAAACAGATGACTTTGAAATTGTGGTGATCCTTGAAGGGATGGTGGAAGCCACTGCCATGACAACACAAGCGCGGAGCTCCTATTTGGCAAGTGAGATCCTGTGGGGTCACCGCTTCGAACCCGTCTTGTTTGAGGAGAAAAACCAATACAAAGTAGACTATTCGCACTTCCACAAAACCTACGAGGTGCCATCCACCCCGCGCTGCAGTGCTAAGGACTTGGTGGAGAACAAATTCCTGCTTCCTAGCACCAATTCCTTCTGCTACGAGAATGAGCTTGCCTTCATGAGCCGCGACGAGGAAGAGGAGGAGGAAGAGGACGATGACAGCAGGGGTCTGGATGGCCTGAACCCGGACAACAGGCATGAATTTGACAGGCTCCAGGCCACGATAGCACTGGATCAGAGGTCGTATAGAAGGGAGTCAGAAATATGACCCATGGCCCCTTCGCTAACTGTTCTGAGGGTATTTTTCCTCTCATCTTTTCCCCTACCGCCTGCTCAAATTATGCAGAACAATGCAAGTGCCATAGGAATGCTTGAGAAATTAGTATTGTTTGTAGTTTTAAGTTTCATTGCAATAACCACTGAACGGTCTGTGATAGGAAACCACAGCCAGCCACAACATGTTTTGAACTTCCAGTGTTGATAAAGCAAATTAGAAAATGTACCAGAAGCAAATTCAATATGGCGGCACTGATAAGGGGGAACGCCATGGGTGGGCCATGCTGGAGTATCTTCTTTGCACGCAGAGAGATGGTGGTTTGGTTTTCTTTCACTCCGTGGAAATGAAAGCGTTTTCATGGAGCCAAGCTTTGAGAGGTTCAAAAGGAGGAAATATCAGGAAACAAATCCTCTTTTTTTGTTTTGGTTTTGTTTTAAACTGAACAGACAAATTATATATATTTCTGGCAGGAGTTGTGATTCACTTGCACAAGAACAACACTTGAAACCTTGTAACGTAAAGTTTTTTTTAATTTAGGGGAAGGGAAATGAGGTTTTACTTTGTCAACTTAGTGCTCAGGAGACAGCTTACCAATCATCATCCTCATAGAATCATCTCACATTCGACGCGTGAGTCAATATTTTTGTTTAAACAAACAAGGCAATGGGGAAACCACATGAGTCATGTGAGGGTGCTCAGCGGACTCCAGACCTGCCTCCTGGTTTTTGGCGGGCAAAGCTTGTAGCACTGAATGGCTGAAGCCCAGGGCCAGCAAAAGCACCGAGCACAATTACTGGCAACATAGCCATGAACAGGGAATGCTAGATTCTGGGATAGACAAACCATAATAACGATCCTTAGCATGCGATGGAAACATGTCTGGTGGAGGCGGGGAGTGGGGCTGTGCGTATCTGCTGGGTCAGCGCTTTGAGCACTGCTATTTTGTCTTTTGCGCCTTTGGTTTAAATGAGCTGGAGGCTCCTTTGGGGTAAATCAGCTGGGTTCCGTTAAGTGGCTAAGGAGGACACATTCTGTTCTGAGTCACACCGCAGTCAATTTATGCCCACTGTGGAGCTGGTGCTGTATATCCAGTGGGACCATACAGAATTTTTAAGTTTTGTAATGAATTGAATGGAAGCTCTAGGAGTCAGGGACTGCCCATTTTTTCCAATCAATCTGATCCACACACACCCTACTGAAAAATTCAGTTGTTTTGAACATGAAAACCTATGGGCAATATTTTTTTTGTTTGGTATTTTTGCCTGGAGCCAAATTTATAATGAGTTAGTTGCCTTCCCTTGTAGGAGCAAGTATTCTGCCCTGGAGCACATTTCTAATTGATGAATTGGGCTGGCATTGGACAGCACTATGTGCAGAGGCCAAAAAAGCAAACCACCACTTTCGCTGACTCAAACCTCGTCTGTGCTCAGAGCAGGGGTCCCATGCCTTAGAGATGCAAAATTGTTCAGCTCTCTACTGCTTTTCCCCAGCACCAGAATTCCAGCTTTGAATGGCTTTCTAGTCAAGTGCTCTTCCTCCAGCCTTACGGCATGTCATGTGTCACTCCATATGGGTGCAGCCATGCGGCAAGAGCACAGAACAGATCATATGTAATAAACAGGGCCCACACTGCACACGTTACAGGCTATTATTGATTCCTAGCTGTTTGCTATTCCACCAGGCACAAAAGATCAAGCCTGTGTTTGCAGGGAAGCTTTTGTTCCCACTGGGAAAGGACATCGGGACACTCTAGCACTGTGCAGAGAAAAGATCCATCTCGAATCAGAATGAAAGCATTGCCGGTAACCTACCATTATCTGTGTCCCAGTGGCCTAAGATTCATGTGGCCAGCTGTCACTTTCCTACGTAGCAAACTTCCCCGGGACAGCTAGTGTAGAGCTCAGAATCTCCTGCTCTAAAAAGCACAGATTCCTGCTACTTCAGCAACAGGAGAAACACTAAGATCCAGAGGTGAAAGGAAGCAGGTGCGCTCTGGTGCACAGCTCTGGCAAGAGCTGGCTGAGCTGCAGCAAAAGCCAGCAGGGCGCTATTTAAAGAGCTGGCCGAGACCCGGGTTGCAATAGGACAGCACCTGTAAGACATTTTAAGTTACTTTCACCGCTGCTAAGATCTAGTGGCAGTATAGTGCCTATGACACACGGTTGGGCAGCTTTTATTCTCTCTAACAGTGGCTGTTCAGAACCATGAGCCAGGTCATTTGCTGTAGCTTCTGAATCAGTGAAAGAGGGAATGAAAGTGGGTGTCCTGAGATGTGGTCCTTGTTTATTACCCACCTTCAGCTCTCGTTATCTTTCCAGGGCATTGCAAGCAGTAGTGACCAGAGCTTGCTCCCATGCATGGGAGGAGTTAAGTATTGTTGTCCTCGGTGGCATGGAGAGGCGAAAAGACTTGCTCAAGGCCATTGAAGGAGCCGGTGTCGGAGATAGGATTAGTCCTGTGCTCATATCATCTATGTCCCTTGAGAGAACTCCCATCTTCCCCAAGCCAGCGTGTGGCACGTGTCCTCCCATACCGCTGCCTTCTAAGCACTGGCTAGAATGCAGCTTGAACAGTAACAATGAGCTCAAAAGCACAGGAGGGGTCACCAAACCACAGCGGTTCCCTCTCCGGGGAGTTTTTCCTCCACGTTGTCCTAGCACCATTTCCAGCAACCGTTTGCCTTTCCAGCAGTGGCTGAAAGCTCCACACTGCTCTCTTAAGGGGCTACTTTATTTTTGCTTTCCTCTAAATGCGCGGGGAAGCATCTGCTTCTCCTTGGCAAATGTCAGCACTGCTGCGACTATTTCCAGCTGGCTTAGCACATGGGGCGTCCTGAATCCTAATCCCGGCTCTGCAAAGGACTAGACAAATGGCCTTGAGCAAGTCTCTTAATAGGTCTCCCTCGTTCCACCCGTAACATCAGGGCGCTTCCATGGGGTGATTGGAAGGATTAAGTATTTCACATGTCTCTGTCTGATGCTGCAGGGGGTAGGGGCTGCCAGTTTGGGTTGGACGTATTCCTGGAGGTTTCAAAACTGATATCCAGGGAACTCGGTGGCGGTGCCTGCCAATGCAGGATGGGCAGTGTCTGTCCAGTGCCCTGAAAATGGTCGGAGCTGAGAATTTGTCCCTTGTTCAACCAGACTGTATGGTCACACAACTAGAGATGGGCATGTCTGCATAGAGACATCGTCACACCTCCCCAGGAAGCCCGATGGTCCGGGCATAACTTTTTTGTGTTTCTAGGGCAGAAAAGGCAGATGTGATCCCACCCTGTTCCCTGCCTGGTTCCAGCTGAACCATCCCAAATTCCTTTCTTTGATTTGAGGGACAGTTTGGGTGCCTGCTTCTTGGACAACGTCGGTGAGGATGCAGGGGGCAGGAGTGGGAGGAAGAAGGATAGAGGACAAGCAGCCATCTTGTGGGTATTATTTATTTATTTTTATTTTTATTTTTTCTAAAATGCTGTTTGAGGTGGCTTTAGGCTCTTTTGGGAAAAAAAAAGATGCACAACTTTGCTGCTGTAGGGTTCATTTCGTAATCTATATCACGGTAAATATTTGTACATACAACTGAAAAGAGAGAAAAAATAGAGATGTCTTTACGTAAATTATTGCTTTTAAGAAATATTATATAATTGTACAGTTCCCACCTGGGAGATCAGAATAATATATACATATGTATTTTTAAACTACTGCATAGGAGGATGTGAACGAGCTTGTGGAAACCCATGCAGCCCTAGTGAATTGAATTTCAAAGACTTTTCCTCAGTCTTGTTCACACGCCCCCTTCCCCAAACATCTTGCTAGTGAAGAGCTAGCTCTGGAGAGTAATGTTATATATAATGTATAGTTCTAGAGGTGGAACGTGCTGTTACATTATTTATAGAATTTTTTTTTGTCTAACTGTGATTGCTATAGTTGATCAGGCTTTTTACAACTATCAGGGAGCAATATGAGGATGTCCCTACAGTTTCCTCTAGGCTAACAAATAATAGTGTCACATCAAAACACAAGCATTCAGAAAGAAAATAAGCCAAACAAAGTCTGACATTTGCAAAGAGGACCGGCAAAAAGCCTGTAATGCAATGAGAAGGCTACGAAAGGGCACTCTAAGTGCACTCTTCATGTCCATTGTACCTGTTGACAGCCATGCGTGTAGGAGTGGGGGCGGCCAAGCCATTAATGAAGGGGGCGTGGTTGCCTTTAAAAGGCATGGCCTCTGAAAGAGTTGTGACCTCACACCGAAGGGCTCAGGTGGAATAGGTCTGGAGCCACCAAATGGAGTTACTGTGATTTACACGGGTGTAGCGGGCAGAATTTGCCACGTGAAGAGGTACTCCATCAAGTTCAGGCCGGGTGGTCTTCACCCTGGACTCCACACAAATCTCAGCCCGACTCAGGGATTTCTTGACAGGCCAAGCAAAACAGGATTCTCCACATGACCGGGCATTGCCAAGATCTTTGTGTTTCTTTTGGGTGTGAGGTAATTTTGTTTGTGTTTAATTTCCCGAGTTCAGAGATGAGTTGGGGACCTTCATAATCAACTGCAAATGTGTTCTTTCAACAGTAAATCAAAAGAGCAGAGGGGTTTTTGCGCAATTGGTAATCCTCATTCTACAAGGAAGAACGCCTTTTTGCGAATGAGCTCTTTCACAAAATGGCGTGTATGGATGGGGAAGAGGGAGTTTTTTTGGAAGAAGAGGGAAGAGGAAAAAGCACAGGTGCCCTGGTGGCCATTCTGTCCATAGCAATCACTGCTTACATGAGAGATAGCGTCCAGGCAGTCTGGACTCTCTCTTTCGAAAAAGTGCATCTCTTTGTCGATGTGCTTTTGCAATGTGGACACTCTCTTTTGCAAGAAGTTTTTGCAGAAAATCTCTTCTGAAAACAGCTTCTTGTGCAAGAAGCCTGCAGTCTAGACTGCATCCCTCTGTTGACAGAGGGATGCAAATCAAGCACGTCGAATTGCTAATGAAGCAGGGATTTAAATATCCCACTCTTCATTAGCATAAACATGGCTGCCACTTTTTTTTTTTAAACAGAGCTTTTTCGGAAAAAAAAGTCAGTCTAGACGTAGATCAGTCAAAAATAAACCCTTTTTCGACAGATCCCCTGTATTCCTCAAAAAATAAGGTTTACCAGATCTGTCGAAAAAGGATTTATTTTCAACAGATCCACGTCTAGACTGCCATTTTTTTAGAAAAAGCTCAATTTAGAAAAAAAGCGGTGGCCATGTTTATGCTAATGAAGAGTGGGATATTTAAATCCCTGCTTCATTAGCAATTTTGATATGCCTTATCTACATCTCTCTGTTGACAGAGAGGTGTATTCTAGACACAGCCTGAGAATTGTTGACGTCAGAGATGGAAAAGACCCACCCCATCCTCTCTGCCAGCCCTTCTGTATACAATTAACTCCCCTCCCCTTAGTCAGGACTAGAGCAAACTCATATAAGCAACAGCTGCTTTGGAAAGGAATCCGTTTAATGGGCAGGCTGAGCCCGATCCTGCTGCCATTTCTGCTGATGCAGCCTCAGTGGTGTCAAGCAGTTTGCACAAGTGAAAGCAGAAACTGGCCTCTAAGGGCCCGGGTTCAGGAGCCTCCTCAAACATAGCTACAGCCTGAGG